TCTCTTACTGCACATGTATGTACGTACGTACATATTATAATTCAAAAAATGGCTATTCAAAAATTTATTGAAGTTTTTAGTATTAGAGATTATTTTTTCTTTTTAGCCCTAATATTTGCTACCTATGTTTTTAACTTTTATTATAAATATTTAACTCGTCCCAATCCACTCCCTGGTCCGTTACCTTTACCATTCATTGGAAACCTTTATAATATCGTTTTTTACGGGTTTATAAAATTCTATGGTAAATGTGGGACAGAATATGGAGATATCTGTGAAATAACAATAAATGGAAGTAGATGTATAATTCTTTCACAACCAGAATATGTTGAAAAAGTCTTATCTACGAAAAATTCAATGAGGTTACCAAGTTCGCAAAGTCTAGTTGAAATTGGGCTTGGCAATGGTGGGGTCGCCTTCAATAATGAGTATAAGAGTTGGAAATATAATAGACAGTTCTTTAGTCAAGCATTATTAAGACCTAAATTTTTGGATACAGCTGTAAATTGTACAAATAAATTGTTTGAAGAATTGAGTGAATATTGGCAGTCTCTTGGAAAGCAAAATGCTTCAAATAATAACGATAATTGGATTCTAGAAACAGATTTTTCAGAGTGGTTGCATGCACTTGCAAATGATATTATTTCAATGATAACCACCGGAGAACGTACATATTCAATTGCTTCTTACTATAACTCGCAAAGTACTGTTAAGTCTGAACATCCTAATGCACTGGTCGAAGATGGAAAAAAATTTGTTGAAGCAATAAAGATACAGCGTAAAGGGTTTTCTTTCTTTATAACAGTTGGCCCATTCTTGAGGCATTACGTTCCAATAATCAGAAATATAGCAAATTCATACATAAAAAATCTTGATTATATATATGAAAAATTGGATTTCATGATTAAAAAGAGAAGAAAAGAGATTGAAGAAATGCCAGAGAGTTTAGAAATAAGAACCGATATGCTAACATCCTTAATAATTGCAAACACAGAAAAGGATACTTTTAATGTAAAAACGGTAGGTGGTGAGACTTTTGAGCCTATGAGTGATGAAGAGATTAAAACTAATATGATAGAAGCTTTCGTAGGTGGAACAGGCACTGTAAGTAATATTTTTTCCTTATCAGTTATCTATTTGCTTATAATTTACTTATTTATTACTATCTGTTTGCCTATATTTAGACGGCTAATACATTTTGTTTTATAACCTACTATCTCTCTAAATATCCGAATGTAAAACAAAAAATGATTGCGGAAATTGACAGTGTCTTCTCTAAATCCCATCTGTCAATTGATGATCTCTCAAAGCTAAAATATTGCGAAGCAATAATCAAAGAAACTAGTCGTATGACTCCTGTAGCAAGTCATATACTTCGCTGCACTACTGAAGAGCATGAAGTAGCAAGTTACAAGTGGGCAGCTGGTACAATGTTTCACTTAAATGTTACAGGGATGCATGGTCGCCCAAACGATTGGCCCAATCCAGAAGTTTTCAATCCGGATAGATTTTATGAAGTTGACCAAGATGATAAAAGGTTAGAAAATAAAAATTCTCTAATAATCTTTGGTGGAGGACCTCGAATCTGTCCTGGAAGAAAGCTGGCGATGTGTGAACTACTTTTATTGATGGCATCAGTTTATAGACATTATAATGTTGAGTTAGTGAATGCGCAAGAGCCATTAAAACTTTTTAGCTCATTTAATGCTAATATTAAAGAGTTGAAAGTTAGAATTAGTCCTCGAACTAATTAAATTTAGTTTTCTTAAATTTATATTATCGAAATTTTTTTCTATCAAATTCATTTATTTTTTATGCAGACTAAAAATTATGTTCTTAAAGATAATAATTAATGTTTTCAAAAAATTTTTAACACTGTTTATCATATATAAATAAATTATTACCAATATTTTAACTGAATCTCTTTATAAATGAATTATATAAATATAATTAATTATGTAGTGAACGTAACAATGATTTCCAAGAATAGCTAGTTCGGTATGTGTCACGTCGATTCTCAGTTATAGGGCCTTTGGTGTATTCCACTAAGGAAGCTGACTCACTTGACGGCTGGTGTACGTTTAGGTCCTATCCACCTTGTAGTAAAGCGACCACAAGGCAATGCACGCAGTCTATCGTTAAGAGCACTTATCTACTAAACAAACTTGATCTAACATTCGCTTGGATCGTTCATTCTTTTATTAGAAGATAATCAATCGGGTATACTGTCACCCGGTTACAAATATACAAATAGACTTTTATAGCTATTCTCATAAATTCTGGACAACTGATAAAAATTGTTTCAGCCGAATTCGATAAGTTTTGAATTCAGTGTTATCGGCATTGGATTTCGGCATTACAGCAATGTCGATAACACCGAATTCAATAACTTATCGAATTCGACCGAATGATCTCATTGTCCCAGAATTTATGAGAACAGCTGTAATTAAATTCATGCATCAACGATCACGCCATTTATGCAACCCGGGTATGATCTGGTAACCTGTGATCATTCCTAACCCGACACTACAGATTCAGGGTTGATGGTCATCGCAATGACAGTATAGATATTTGATTTGCTCGAACGCGTAATATTTCTAAATCTTAAAGGTCACGAAATCCTTTAATGCCTCATATTCATTTTTCAAAATGTCAATTTTATGTCAGAGTTGTGTTGTGCCTATAAACAAATTGGTTTTTATTTAACACACGATTGAAAAAATCTTTTAAACTTTAAACACAAGGATCATTAGTTTATACATGCTAGTGTTGGAAATTTATTTTGAGATTTATGTTCTCATGAGAACAAGTTTATTTAATCTATTTATATTCTCGGAAAATATCGGACATTTGTTCAAATTTTGTTCAACCCTTCTCGTCTTTTTGTTCATCCATTTTCTTTTCGGATGATTTCAGAACTTCACTTGATTTCTAATTTTATTTCCATTGGTATTATGTTATTATAATTATATAGAGAACAAATTTTTCAAGTACTGTATTATGTTCTCGAATTTTTTTTATATGATCATCAAATGTTTTCAAACCTAAAGGTATGTTCTCACGAGAACATGAGAACAACGCTGATACATGCCATGCTTTCTTTGATCTGTCATTATAATTTTGGTTTACGTATAATTTTTTTTTTTTTTTTAATCCGAATGACAGCCGATAAAGTCTTTAATATCAATATTCCCATATATTAATATTTGATATTATTAACGAGATATTTGTGTATAAGTTAGGTTTCTCTAATGAAAGTTCTTAAAAACTTTTAGGATCTATAAATAAAGGAATTGTTATATTTAAAATATTTGTATTCATATTATAAAAGAAAAACTATATCAATTTTATATACGTCATAATTACTATATTTTGTATATTATTCAATGAAACAGATGCCTAAGATAAATTAATCTCAGTTATCAGCCTTATCATTGTATTCTTCAAGGGCTAAGTACGGTACTCAAGGTTGACGAATTACGAATTCTTTCGTCAAGCAATTAATGTCAAATATTTCGATGAATGGCTAAACTTATGACGATTGATAAATGAAAAACAAAACGTGCAGGTGAATTTGTCCACACACGTGATAATCAATGCAATTTTATTTTTCATAGGGTAAATTTCACAAGAAAAAAATTTTGATAGGCACGAAAGTCGGCTTGTTATGTAGATTTTTGGAATATGAACAGTTTTTAGAAAAAGCGGACAAATTTTACATTATTCCTGATCGTGTTATATTACACTGAACCATTGGTTGATTATCACATGTGCGGACATCCTGATGCTGTTATTGACAAAGCATAAGGCTATTATTCTTTCTTTTATAATAGAAATAAATTGAATCATGAAAAGTTATTATTTTTTTTTTGAAGCCATTATCTGCGTATTTTCTACGCTGTATCAGAATGATTTAACGAAGGAGCTATCAAAATAAAATATATTAACAGCCTCAGATTCCATATGATATAAAACTAAAAATTGTTTTTTGGATGAGCCTAATAGATTTCACGAAGTTGACTTTTTTTATAACGAACCGATGATTTGTAGAAAAAAGTTCATTTATTAAAAAAAAATTTTTTTGTTTATATAAATCGATGAAACATTATAATGAGATAACAATAATTTTGAAAATTTTAAGATTCAGCAAGATCAGCTGTGTTTAGGGTTGTTACAGTCTAGTCTAGTTCGGTCTGATTAATAAAAGACCGTTTATATATTTTAACTATTAATTTATGAACTGGACCGGACTAAGGACCATAATTGAGACCGTTATTGAACCAATAGAGTTATTACAAAATCAATCAATTTATGCACAATTTTAGTTTAAAAAAATGCAATCAAGCTCACATATATTTTAAAATAATATTTTATCTTAGCGTTACTCAATAAACTATGTTATTGTTTTTTTTTTTACCATTACTATTTATATAATTATATTTTATTATTATGTCAAACTCAGATATTATATTTCATCCAAATATAACGCGGAATTTTCCTTTCAATGATTTCAGAACTTCATACGATTTCAAATTTTATTCCATCTGGCATTATGCTATTATACTTATATAGAGAACATATTTTTTGAGTATTATGTTCTCGAATTTTTTTTTTCATAGAGAACATTTACAGAATATCAAATCTAAAGATATGTTCTCATGAGAACATGAGATTATAAGATTTCCAACACTGCATGTAACTGATTCTCAGGATCGATCCAACCCAAAATCTATTAAATTGAACCTTCCAAAAAATCGGTATACATGGTGGACAGGTTATATATCAGTATTAAGAGGTTATCGGAGTTGAAATCATTATAAACTATTAGATTCATATGTAGAAGAGTGATTGATCAATTTTTGTTGTAAAACCCGCAACCATTCAGAAGCTTTTTCATACAAGCTAGAATATATGAATCCTCTTCTCAAAGAAATATTTCTACAAAATAGGAAAAATTTAGATTTTAAAATTTAAAGAAGCAAAGCTTAAAAAATTCATATTTACGCATAAATAACATACGTATCAAATTTAAGACAATCTAAAATATAACAAAGCTTCCATGCTTCAATGGTAAAACTATAAAGTTTTACACAATCATTACTCTTATCTTCATTAGTCACCCGTTTGAAACATATGTTACTTCGATAATCGAATTCGTATTTACATATATCGGTATTTACAATTTCTGGAAAAGCTAAATGGCCTAACTCTGCTCCAAGTTTAGTCAGAGATGGATTATTCTTTACCAAGAATGCTGTAAATCTGATTCCGTTATAATATTTAAGAGATCTACTAATGCCATCATCAGGACTATAAAATTGGAAAGTAAATGTCTTTGTAAAATCATCATAAGTTGGTGATAATTTTTTAGTCCATTCTGCATCGTCCCCGTACGTAAACTATAATAATTAAAAGTTATAATTTTGTTAAAATAATCTGTCTTGAAAAAAAAATTTATTTGTTTACCTCAAGTTTTAAACCAGAATTTAATCTAGAGGTAACGGCTTCGTGTAGTACTAAAGGAACTAATGTGTTCCACTTTTTGCAAACAGTTCTCAGTGAACAAAAATCCTGAAAACTATCATTTATTGATATTATTAAACTATCAACTTAATAAGAATAATATCTTAATAAATAACTCACTTTGTTTCTATAACAAAATAATTTAAAATTTCAATATGCAACTCATTAGGAAGATTTTGAATCATCTTTTGGATTAAGTCCTCATTCAACACCGGTATGTATTACATCAATTTATAATTTTTGAACTGATCACCCTTACCATATTTAGCTATTCTTGAGCGGTGTCCTCAATATGAATACTGTGCTAGATTAAGATGTTGCACAACAATTTCGTTTAATTTAAATTAGATAGCTGCACGACCCGTACTCGCGTTGAAACCAGGAACATAGTTAATATTGACGTCAAAATTTTATAAAAGAAATATATATATTCTTTTTATTTCTTAACAAATCAAAATAAATTAATTGGATGAACAAGAATAGATTCTTATGAATAAGGAAAATAATGAACAATTCTGATCCAAAGCTCAATAAAAAAAAATCGATGCATAGAAATGAACGCTAAAAATATAAAACCTGGCACGTTTAAATCACGTAAATTATCATCACTCAGAAGTTAAATTTAAGGTGCAAATATACGAATTAACAATGGAAATTTATAGTTAAAGCATGTAAAAAGATTATTATACTCGTGAGTGTGTAGTAGTAAATACGTAAAAACCGTATATCAACATGATCCGCGCTTTTATGTGCTTTGGTTGTGTTGTTCAGCGATATTTTACGTGTAAATTAGTATTGTCTCACACTTAACGTTTCATGATCCATGCAGCGATTGCTTACAGAGAAGTTAAAAAAACCTAACTTAAGCTGAGTGTTGAGTCTAAAATTTGAGAACTGCAAGCTGTTTCTCAAAATGTAACTAATAAAATAACAAAAATATTGTTGAAAAAGATCGATCAATCAAAAAATAGTTTCATGAGCTTGTTGAGGGTAGGTTGATTTAGCTCGTCATAAATTATGTAGTATAAATTAAATGAAATTTCTTCAATATAGCACAAATATGACTTTTAAAACACGACTAATACATGTATAATTTTGTACAATCCGCTTTAATATAGACTAGGTACTGGAACCGTCAGTGAACGACGAGCTATATTTAATACAGTTATAAAAACATTGGTTGTCACCTTATATATTGTACAAAGGCCCACGGTATAATAAAAAGAATTAACATATTTCGAAAAGGTGGGAGTTTAAATATGATTATACGATATCTAATGGAATACTCAGGGGTGATCGATGACTTAAAAAATATGAAACCTTTCCTATACAAAAATTGCTTTGATAAATAAGTGAAATAAATAATAAGAGAAAGAAAATGAAAATTATACTTTTTTTTTTTTTTGAGTACAAATAATATGTTAAATTTCGAAATAGTTTTTTTTTGCAGATACTATCAGGGTGATTCAGAATTAGTATTCAGGTTTCTGATTTCGACGTATTTATTTAGAAATAAGTGATTTATAAATTCTATTTTTTTTATGTGATAATAATATTTCATCAGAAAAATACACTGATTCGATTCTAATTTCGGAATCTAAAATAGAAATGGAATTTTTAAACTCCTATTTATTTATTTTAGAAATTAATAGCATATACTGTATCTAAAGATGACAAATGTTTTTTATCACACATCAAAAAAACAAGCGATGTTTACGATCTGGATTTATTAAATCCAGAATTAACTCAGGCTGTATAGTTGTTAGACGAAACCTTTTTTGCTTGGTGACGAAAGACGAAACCTAAGCCCCCAAATGACGAAACCCCTGACGAAAGACCTCAAATTCAGCTGACGAAAGACGAAACCCAAATTCAAAATGACGAAACCTAACCTTGCTCCCTCTAAAAAAAACCTTAATGCTCCCGCAAAAAAAAAAAAAAAAAAAAAACAGATTACTAAACCTTTATGATAATAGCGAATCCCTACTTCTCTCGCTAAAAAATTACTACTAAAAATCTGAGAAAATTTGTTTAATGAAGCTATCAATAAAAATAATAAAAATATCATAATTTCAAATATTTAACCCATCCCTATAAGAAAAATGGTTCGGATCGGTACGGGTTGGTTTCGGATAGGTACGGGCCTTTGTGGCACGGGTCAAGATCCGGATTTGTACGGGTATG